GGATGATCTTCTTAATCAGTTAAATGATTCCCAGACGTATTCATCCAAAGACCTGATACTACACAAGGAGTACAAGTTACTCGACATTGAACTTCGGGACGAAAATGGATTCAACGGAGGGACCTATAAGAGAGCTATAGGGAAACTAGAAGACAAGAAAAGAAAACCAAATGGGACAATCACAATTAATTTCCCAAAGCCAGTGTCTCTCCTAAGCGACAAGATCATTGCGGCAATGAAGGAAAGAATTGCCAACAAGAAAAATCCTAAATATGTAGTCCACAAAGTTACCACTCGTGAAAGAGCTGACGGAAAGGGCTCATATGACATGATAGACTTCAAATGGACATAAATGTATCCTTTATTACTACGCTACTTCTCACATTTTATAACTGTTTCATGCACCAATAACTTACCTGCACATTCCCTGAATATTCTCTGAATATTTTCATTGAAATTGTACTTCATCTTTTTCTAAAAATATTCAGTATGGATAATGTACCTATTTTGTGAGCTAACAAACCTCTACTTCTCCTTTGTTACTCATAATGGTACCATAATTATTTTTAATGCACATACTTTTGCCTGCACATTACATAATACATATCTAAACTACTACTGACTGTTTTCAGTTCAAACTTATGTACGGTTTTCATTGAGTACACCATATATAATCATACAATGTTACTCAAACTTCCTGGGTCAATAAAAATTTGTTTATCCACTACAGCTCATGAAACATTGTGTCCCCCCTCACATTACTTACCTTCAAACAACAAATAAGAAAAACACTTATGATCATAGCTTAAATTAACTGTCTTTCAAAACTTTTCAAAGAATAACACAGCATTAGAGTAATATCAAAATTTGTTAGGGGGCAACGGTAAAGAACGAGTATACTTCTTTAACAACAAATTACTAATTTGCTGTTGTCTGTGCTCCTTGTTTTTTTCATCAAAGTACATAATAGATCAGTTTTTACAATTCTTGCAACTCCTTTGTACCAGTTTTGTTTTGTTTGAAAGGTTGTACAAAGATTTATTTTTTGTTTATATTAAAACAATGTCAGAGTACTTTTTAGTGTTCTATATTTTTTCATCCCTGCAATCGTGCAGGCAACCCTACGCAAGCAGCTGAATGCAACGGTCCCAGCCCACGCCCTAAAACCGTAGCCACCTTGGTACCCCTTTGTTACCCTGCTTGCCACTTTAATACCTTACTGCCACTTGCCTGCCACTTATGAATGCCCCTTAAAAGGAAGAAATCCACTTCACTGCCACTTAACAAAGTGGCAGTTAAGTTGCACCTCGGCCACTTACCAGCCA